CCTCATGCCAGCTCCTCACTCTAGGATGCTAGGCTTCATTTCTAAGCTCCTTGTAAACAGACAGGCATCAGTGACTTCATTTATCCTCAAGCATCATGTTGATATAAAGATAACACAATGCATTCTTTGCAAAGACATTTGTGGAGCCCAGGGAGATTTTAACACTAGAGCCCTTGACTGTATGCCCAGTAGGTTCTACTTGTCCGTCTTTTCCTCTGTAGGCACGGCTAACCCCATGTGGTCGTGTATGTGGGGAAACTAAAAATTTGCCATTAAATTGGCTTCATTAAGCCTGAGTCAATTTATAATAGATATCTGATTCTCACTCTGGAAGGAGAGCATTGATCTTAGAGTTTCACAGGGTCAGTTATTGCATACAATAGTCATACTGAGAGGCTGAGAGGCCAGCAAGTGAGGTCATGGAATATAAAAGACAGAGGCTATTCCCTCTCTTCTCACCCACATCTACTTTCTGCTCACCACAGTTCTTTGAACAAAAAATGCTCTTTCCTGCTTGCACACTTGTACCCAGGTCAGTTTTCCTGGCTGGAATGTACCCTTTATTTCCATAGATCTGAACCCTATCCATCCTCAGGACTAGCCCACATAGCACCTGCTACCGAAAACTTCACACTCCTGCAGCCCTCACCACAGACCCCGTTTCTCTGACCTCCCATGATCAGTACCACACAGTCAGCTCCTAGCTGTATGTGCTGTGACATGCCCCTTACTGCTTCCCATATGCATATCTTGTCTCCCCAACCAGGCTTTAAACTCTTATAGGGAGAGCAAAGCTCATCACACAAACACACTTCATAGCACACTGTTCTGTATCTGGTATATTCTTGGTAAATATTTACTCACTGATTATTTGGAAATATGTCAGGAGCCAGCTGTACATTCATAGGCATTCTTAACAAGTTCAGTTGCAAGACAGTCTCATGATTCAACTATATTTTGTCTACTAGAGACTCATTTAACATTTAAAAACACAAATAATTGAAAGCTAAAGGATTCAAAAAGACATTTCATGCAAAAAGGAACCAAAAGAGACATGGAATGGCTACATTAATATCAGACAAAATTGACTTTAAATAAAAAATTGGTACAGGAGACAAAAAAAAGATAGTACATATTGCTAAAAGGATGAATCCATCAAGAAGTTATAACAACTGTAAATATATGTGCACTGAACAACAAAGTTAGAGATTTCAATACCCACTTTTAATAATGGATAGAACATCTAGATAGTAGATGTTCAGTCTGAAAGTTACCCCCTCCTCCAAATGCCAATTGGAAAGAAAAAAGAGCAAGATCACCCCTGTTATTTAAGTGTCTTCGCATCTTTTGTGACATTGCTTTTCTATCACTGTTCAGTTGCACTTTACCATGAGTTGTCATCTTGGGCATCAAGGCTGCCCTCCTCTCAGGTCACAAGTCCAGGCTTAACCCTACTCTTCAGATCTCACACAGTACCAGGGAGATAGACCTATGGAGCATCCAGTACCAGTTACATCTTGTCCCACCAAAGCATTTAGACACTTGTCTGAGCCTAGACTCTACTCAGATTTCCCACTTCTCAGAAAAATTTCAAGAGTCCTTCCCCTACTTCCCCCTCCTCACCCCATCCCAATCCTGAGCTGTGGTTAGATATTGCCCCCTATTTTTCTTCAACAAGTCCCTGACCTCAGATTCAGGGAAAACCCATTAGACACTTTTCCTTTCCATCCTGAAAGTCCTTGGGTAAAACTGGCTCACTCCTCCTTCGTCACCAGCTCTGCAAAACAAGGGGTGAGAAATTTTTGGCCAAATCACATAAACCATAAAAGGCCTTTTGAAACCCTAATTAAAGAAAAATGAGAGGAGAAGGACTTCTGCAATTGTACAAATGAGAAGGTTGCTCAAGTGGCCCTTCACAGGAGATAGGGATGACCAGCTTCTCCAGATTTTATGCTATACTTCCATATTATATATAATATTATATATATACCTGTAACACAACTAACTACCAAATGAGTAATGTAGACAAATATTAGAGGAGTTCAAGATCAGGAAGATCAAAGAGGTTTGGAGGTATCTAGAACATTTTTAATTTGCTATTTGGAATGTTGAATTTTTCATCAAAATATTACCTATACAGATTAATTTTTAAGAGAAAATATTTTGTGACACAAACTCCTTTATTCAAGTTCAACTTCATAATAAATTTTCCCGTTAGCACAGTCATATTGCTTCCAATTTTTCCCATTTTTAATTTATTTTTCCCCCATTTTTAAAGAAATTATCTTTCTTTGGATAAGTTCTTTTCTATTTCCATTTTTTTCAGTAACGATTTCCTGATTAGTTGCATTTCTATTTGTTTTTTAACAGTTTTATTGAGATATAATTCACATTACATACAATTCATACATTTAACATGTACAATTTGAAGATTTTTAGTATATTCACAGATCTGTGGAATCATCACCACAATCAATTTTAGAATTTTTTTTAATCATTTTCAAAGGAAATCTCATACACATTAGCAGTCATTCTCATTCCTCTTCAATTCCCCAGACCTAAGCAACCACTAAGTAATCATGTCTTTATGGATTTTCCTATTCTGGACATCTCATACAAATAAAATCATATACTATGTCATCTTTTGTGACTGGCCTCTTTCAGTTAGAATAATGCTTTTAAGATTCATTCATGTTGTAGCATGAATCAGAACTTTATTCCTTTTTATTGCTGAATATTTCTTTGTATAAATATACCACATTGTACAGCTTCCCTGCTGGCTCAGATGGTAAAGAATCCACCTGCAATGTGGGAGACCTGGGTTCAATCCTTGGGTGGGGAAGATCCCCTAGAGGGGCAAATGGATACCCACTCCATTATTCTGGCCTGGAGAATCCTATGGACAGAGGAGCTTGGAGGGCTACAGTCCATGGGGTCACAAAGAGTTGGATCGACTGAGCCACAAGCACACACATACCATATTGTGCTGATCAGTTCATCAGTTGATGGACATACAGGTTGTTTCCACTTCTGTGAATAATGCTACTATGAACATCCACACTCAAGTTTTCATATGAATGTATGTTTTCATTTATTTCGATATATACCTAGGAGTAGAATCATCATTTGATTGCATTTGACCTGACCTAATTTTCCTGATTAACACTCCTTCCATTGTGTTTTCTTTTACAAAGTAAAGTACAGAAAGACACAGGGAGAGACAGGGTGAGAAGACAGAGGGTGTATCTGCTCAAGTGTCTTGTCTGAAGTTCGTGAGGACATTCAGAATCAAATGATCTATAGCAATCAATGTGATTGGGTCAAAATATCCTATAAAGAAAAAGTTTTCTGGAAGAACAAAGGTCTAACCTGAGTTGAGCTGCATACACAAACAGCTGGAGGAGAAGAGAAAGAAGACGGCACTCCAGCAGGGGCCACAGCATAAGCAAAGCACTGGTGTTTGGGCTGAGTATGGAGTATTTGGGGGATAAGTTGCAAGTAGTAGAAGGTGGGGTTGGGATGATTCGATGGGAATCACATCATCAAGGTCTTTGAAGAGCAGCCACAAGGGTTTAAAGACTAACTTTTTATGGTTTTGAAGGAACCATTGGAGAGTGTAGTCTAGAGACCTGAGTGACATGATCAGAACAAATGGACATGATCAGGGTAATGACGGGCAGGTACACGCAGGATAGACAGAAACATGGACACATTTATGATAGCAAGTCCCCATTTTTTGGAGGCTGTTATAGCAATTCAAGGTTGAAGTTAAAGCTTTGTGGACAGCCAGCTGGAAGCTGGTGACTTACATTGATTCAGTGGGCAAAGGCAGCATTCATCATGGTGCTGGTTCCCCAAAGGACCCAAGCCTATGTTCAGGGAAGTGATCATTTCCCTATTATATAAATCGATTAGGTCATTCAGAGCTGAGATTAATGCCAGGGGTTTGCTACTAATCAAGCTAGAATAACAAGCTGGAGGACAAGGCAGGCCTTCTGCCAAATGGGTAAGGAGAAAGTCCAGAGGCACAGAACACTGCAGCAAAGCACTCTGTTCCTGCCCTGGGAGTCTGGGCAGAGAAAACCACCGAGAGATCTAGCAATGCCCTTCAGCTTCATCTGGAGACTCTAGGGCCAACTCCTGGAATGACAGTTCTAGGCCTTCTGTCAGAGCTGACCAGTCAAGTGGAATCCAGCCCTGTAGGCCCATGGCTGGGCTGTCCTCCCTACCTGCAGGAGCTTGTAGAGACAGGGATATTATAGGGATGGAGGAACAGGCTAGGGTGATGACACCAGTAGTGAGCCCAGGGGAGGCAAAGGCTTGGAGAGAATAATTGAAGTGTGTTTTGTCAATAATAACAATAGTCTGCAATGGCAATGATTTGTGTTTACATAAGGCTCCCACTGTGCTTCAGAAAAAGAGAGGGCTCTATATTCTCAGTGGATGAGATGCTCTCCCCTCACTCAAAGGTTCCCCTGACCCTTTCTGAGAAGACTGTAAAACTAACCACATGCCATCCAGGACCAGTAAGGCTGCTTCTGACTCTGTTAGTGGTGGAGCCTCTACCATTTGTCCCTTCCCTAACACAGAGGAGGGTACAGTTGGCTCCATCTATAAACTGGAGTAGAATTTCTAAGAAAAGCCAAGTCTCTGGTGTGTCCTGGTTTGGGAAAAGCAGTATCTCAAGTCCGATGCCTTTCAGCTTCTGGACAGCTCTCTTGTACCCGCCCCCCCCCCCACCCCACCCCCCCCGGCCCCCCAGCCTCCAGTCTTCCTGTCAGGGCATGGGTCAGAAGCATTTCCAGGCTTTGAAATGCTCAGTGAATGGTGGAGGCTTGCTCAAGAACCACTTTGAGTTCCTTGACACTTAGGGGACTGACGATGCCACTACTTTGGGTGGAACTTAGCTTGAATACTTTCTGTTGTGGAGATCAGACAGCCTGAGATTTGGGGTGGGGGGTTGGTTTTGGATTTCCTCACAGTTCACCCATCTAGGGTATCTAAGCACAGTCCCCATCATTATCTTCATTTTCTGTCATCTGCATCATCTCATCATTATTCAGGGTCCCCCTCTCCTGTGGAAGGGGGACAGACGGAGTAGGGGCTGGCTGCCAGAAGAGGAGAGTTTTCTGTCTATTCCAAGGGCATTCCTCGACACAGAACTTATGAGATCCAGGCAAAGCCGGCCTGCCTCTGGGCGAAGAAGCTCCCGCGGTAGGGCCGAGCCTCGCGTGGTGTTCCCCTGTTGCGGCGGGGCGGAGAGGGCGGAAGACATCCGCCCCCGACACACACCCTCCCCCTCAGGGCTCAAGAACACAGCCTTCCCACTGCTGGCCTGGGGGAGCCGGCTAGGGAGCTCTCCCTACATCTCTACCCACCCTGCCGCCTCCAGGATCTTAACCAGGGTCCCCCACCACCCTGGGTCGAAGGATCAGAGGGTAGGGGTGACGAATGGAGACCCCGGGTGGGCCTGAACGCTCCCTCCTCCCGAGGCACCTTGGTCCCCTACTGGCGCTTGACTCCTCCCCCGTCTCTATTCCGCAGCGTCCCCGCCCTGCCAGCACTCTGCTTCAGCGACCGCACCTGCCTTAGGGGTTGAGGGGACACACGGGAGGCAGAAAGGGAAAGAGAGGGTTTGGGGAGCGTAGCGCATCAGGGTGACCGGCGTGGCCCGTGCCGCGGGTCCCCGCAGCTCGAGCGCCGCCCGCCCCGCGGCTGCCGCACCGATGCGCTGTCCGCGGTGCTGACGCCGGCCGCCCGCTCGGTCGGCAGGGGGAGGAGACGCCCTCGTTCTCCCGCCGCCCGGAGCCCAGTGACCCCACCCCCGCGCCTAATTAGGATCCTTTGCCCCGAAGGAACTCTCCGAGACCGGGCGCCGTGGATGGATCCAGGAAGAAGAAGCGAGCGAAAGGGAACTTAAACTTCGGACCGGAGCCCGAGGACCCGGTGTTGGGGAACTAGCGTCTTTCGGCCTCCAGCACCTGAGACCGCAGGGCAACGTCAAGTTGAGCAAACTTTGGCTGCCGCTTGGACATAAGGGAGGGATTCCGGGGCCGAAGCGCAGGGAAGGACTGGACGGTGTTCCCCGGCGGGGTGGTAGCTGCACCGCAGCCCGGACACCTGCTTTGGTGCCCCGCATTGGTGTCACCAGAACGACCGGGAAGGCGTCGCAGGAGCCCAGCTCCCCACCCCTTCTCTCCCGTCCTTACTCCCCACCCCCCAACACCCCGCCCCGGGCGCCGGTGACTCCGCCTCTCCGTGGCGGGCGGCTCTCCGGCTGGAGCTGGAAAGGGAGCGCTTCCCCGGACTCTGCTTGGTTCCAAGGCTCCGAAGCCGACGCCGCCAGCTCAAGCCCGGGGGCGAGAGCTGGACTGCCCACGGAGCCTGCGTCTGGGAGCCGCTTGGCAGGGAACGCCTCATGGGACGCCCCCGGGGTCTCTCTCCGAGCCCTGCTGCCCCGTCCCAGTCCTAGGCGCCCGGGCTCTACAGCGCGCCCCGCCCGCAGCCCGCGGCCTGTCTGGAGGGGAGTATGAGGCCCGGGGCCCCGCGGACTCCGGCCACACGGCGGCAGGGGCCTACCTTGAGACCCCCGCGCCCGAGGGCGGTGGGTGAGGAGCCGCGGGAGCCGGCCAGGCGTCGGGGCGCGGAGTGGAGCGCCCCAGCTCTGGCGCCCGAAGGGCCGCGGGACCCGTGTGCGGCCTGAGCGCCGAGGAGGAGGCGAAGGCGCCCTGCCGTCCGGGCTGCTCCGCGGCGGCCCCAGTCCCTTGGTCACCATCCTCACGTTTCTGCTCCCGCGGGGGGGATGTCGCGGCCCGGGCCCCGAGCGCCGCCCCGGCCCCGGGGCTGAGCTCCGGACCATGTCCTCCCGCAGCCCCCGGCCCCCGCCCCGCCGCTGCCGCCGCCGCCTGCCGCGCCCCTCCTGCTGCTGCTGCTGCTGCCGCCGCTCACACCTCAACGAGGACACGGGCCGCTTCGTGCTGCTGGCGGCGCTCATCGGCCTCTACCTGGTGGCGGGTGCCACCGTCTTCTCGGCGCTCGAGAGTCCGGGCGAGGCGGAGGCGCGGGCGCGCTGGGGCGCCACGCTGCGCAACTTCAGCGCGGCGCACGGCGTGGCCGAGCCGGAGCTGCGCGCCTTCCTCCGGCACTACGAGGCCGCGCTGGCAGCCGGCGTCCGAGCGGATGCGCTGCGCCCGCGCTGGGACTTCCCCGGCGCCTTCTACTTCGTGGGCACAGTGGTGTCGACCATAGGTGAGCTACGCGCCCGGCGCGCCACTTTCCTCTCCGCGTCTTTCACCTGCTGCCCTTTCCACTGCTCCGGGGCTCGAGCCGCGTCCCTCGGCCCCCTCTTCCCTTCTAATGCTCGAGTGCTTACTTTCATCGCGCCCTCTCCTCCCCTCCAGTCCCTCTCTTCCTGCTTCATGTTCCTCTTTACTGGCTTTCGGGGCGGGAGGTGGCCTGAAAGGCCCATCACTGGCGCTCACCCAGCGGTGACTGCCCGGCCGAGAGGCCAAACGGGGAGAACCCTCACCCAGGTACGGGGCAGACCGGGGGCCGCCCGCGCTCCAGCGCTTGCCAACTCCGTGACCTAACCTCTTGGGTCTCAGTGTTCGCTTCTGAAAAGGACAGGGGAGAGGATGTATGGGGAGCCTGGGGCTTCCTTCTTATTTCTCACGGCCCCCGGTTCTCGGTTTCCTCATTCAGGTAATCTGGAAAGCCCTTTCTCTCTCCTAGCGTTTTTGTCTCTTTTCCCTCTCTTCTTTCTTTTCCCACGCGTTTTCCCTGAGTCCTCTAGACCCCTTACCTTGGGAAAGGTGACCATTTTTCAGACTAATCCCCAGGTCTCCTTCCACCTTTTTCCTACAGTCTGTACATCCCTTCCCAAAGCAAAAACCCATTAGACTTGGAGAATAGGACTTCAGCTGCTCTTATTCTGGTTTTCTGCCCTTACTACCCACCCTGCAATTTCCCTCCAATTTCTTGACCTCTTTTCTTTGTAACCTTGTTATCTTTTCCAATAAATATTGGCACCAAGGGGTAGCTGTGTGCAGGGGTTAGCTTCTCTATACTTTCCATCATCCCTTCCTCTTATTTGCGGTAAAAAACAGCTCATGGTTTTGTAACAGTACAGGAAATGCTGTGTAAATGTTCCTTGAAGCCCTTCCCCCCACTTCTTTTACCCTCCTCTGAGCTGCTTCTATAGAGATTCAGGAGCCACCACTGCTCCCCACTCCACCCTGTCTCTCTCTTCTTCTCTTACCCACTTTGTGCATCCCCCCATTTCCAGGTGTCATGTGCAACAGATCTCCTTCCATTACTGTATAGAAGGCAGAATAAATACAAGATTGTTACTTTGGCATGACTCTGTGTCTCATCCACTCCTCCTTCGAATCCTAGGGTGAAAAAAAGCATTTGGCTGCTCTTGCTTCCAGTCACCCCAAAGCACTATCTGCTGGTGGTAGGTTTGGCGGAGGGGACTGGAGTCACAGGACTGAAAGGTGAAGGATTTCGTAGGCAGCCTTCTCTGGGTGAATTCTGGCCTGGAAAGTGGTACACCAGCTTAGAGATGGGGTATGGACTAACTGCCCAGTGTAAGCCATTGCAGATGGCTGCTGGAAGGCAGAAAGACTGCATCCATGTGCAGAGCATGAGCAACTAGAAGTGGCTCTCTGAGTGTATATGTATAGTCTACGAAAGGACTTCTTTTCAATGAATTTTCATGTGTCATGTTTGATCTGATGACTTAAAATAGAAAAGGCAAATATGGCCCAAGTCCAAAGCACAAACAAATTGGATTAAAATACCCTGTAAAAGCTATATCATGTTGTTATGGTGACTGAAGATATAAAATGACCCCCTTTTAAAAAAATCCCCTTTTAAGAGCTGCATCAAGTTGCTATAGCAACTAGTTTTTTTTTAAGTGCTTTAAAAGTGCTAAAGATGCTTAGTCCTGATGACATCATGTGTTCATAGCTCATTATTGATTTATGTTCTTCCTCTTTTAAACACACCCATTTGCTCTCACCTAGAGGCACACCTGTGCCCATATTGGACAGTCACAGCATTTCTGTCCCGGCGGTGTGCTCTGACTTTGGCTTCCTAATGGGACCCACTGGTTAAGGGAAACGATGACAGCAGTGTCCCCTTCCCCTACAGGCTACGGGTCCGTCTAGATGGGGCCTCATTCCAGTGACCTGTGGTCCCTGTGCCTTTCTGATGAGCTCCCTTCTTTTTTCTTCATTCACTGCCCAGCCATGGCTTCTACAGCTTCTTTTCAGCTCTATGCACAAAATCAAGTCAACATGTTGGCAAATTGTTCCAAGCCTGAGCCTTTAATCTACTGGCAGGATTGGCTGTTTTTTAGTCAAGCAGAAAGAAACTATGTTCTCTTTCTTGATTTGTGTTTGGGAATGTAGGCAAGCCTTGTAGGAGGACTATGTTGAAGCTTGTGGCTATGTTACAAATGACCCAGCACATTGTTTCCAAAATCTGCTGCAGGGAGACATTCATCTTGGATAAGAGCTGCATTTAGAGACCAGAATCAGCTGGTGGACAGCTCAGCATTCAACTAGCCCCTTTGCAGAGGTGCCAAGAGAGCCACATAGGTAGCAGGGTCTCTGCCAGCGACCCACCTGCTGTCATGGTCTCAGGCAGTTAGATAAGTTCTGCTGAATCCTGAAGTAGCATGATTTTTATTTCAGTCTTCTTTTGCAAAAATGTACTTGGATGAAATTTAAGTAAAGACCTACATACGTCAGTTTCACTTCTGTTTATATAGTTCCTTTCCCTTAAATGCCCTGAGTCTTCAGAGACAATGATTATCACTACTGGTGCTTTTATGGATTCAGCAGCTCAGGGAGCCAAATCTGAGTCCAAAATGGGCTGTCAGGATTCGATATCTACCATGTCACCCAGTGAAGAGGAAAATTAGCATGCACTCAGTTTTATTTGAATATCACAGGGTGTATGCTCCATGCAACAATGTGGACGTTTTCTTGTATTGTGTAGACCCAGCTAACAGATTTGTCTAGACTTTAGTGTAGAAAACTCTGCCATCATTTATCCCATAAATATGGTATATTGTGATATAGTGTGTATATCAGGCCCTGAGTGCTATATTTTGAAAGGTTAAAGCTTATTCTACAAGGCAAGGGTTGAAGCATATTCCAACAAGGGCAGCTGAATTGCAGTGTTCATGGGCACTACATCTTGGCTAGCCTCACTAATGATGATTGGAACAAGGAGGAGTCCTTTGGTCCAGTCCCATGTGGCTCAGAGTGTTAAGGGATGTGTCTCGGGTCACAGTTAATTATGTGTTCAGCTGGGGTCCAGAATCCAAGTTATGCTGTGTTTATTCTGCCAATTTCATTCATATAATTGGTGGGCACATTCTTGTTTGAGGCTGAAGTATTTAATGTGTGTGTGTGTCTGACACCACAGCAGGGCTGAGCAGACAGACTGGTCTGTTGGTCAGGCCAACAGTTAGGTCTAGAGAGAACTTGAAGGATCAAACACATCTTAGAGTTCAGACAGGCTAGAAAGAAGCATCTGGCAAGTCTTAGACAGCTGGAAAGACAAGAGCCAGTACCAAGAAGGTCAGAGACAGGAATGCTAGCAAGTAGGAGACATTTGGGTAAATTCTGGTCCAAGAACAGTAGCCATTTGCTCTCTGCCTTCTTTCGCACTAGTGTGTGTGTGTGTGTGTGTGTGTGTGTGTGTGTGTGTGTGTGTGTAGAGGAGGGAAAGAAGGGGCAGGAATGGGCCTCCAGCTAGAGGGAGAGATAGAAGAAAAATTCAGGTGTGGCTGTGTATACTCAGGTTAGATGAAATGTCCTGATGAGGTGGAATATTTGTCCTGACATTTGGCTTGAACAAGGCCCATATCTGGAGCTAGGTAATTTGCAATTGTGAGACACATGTTTGTCCACACAACACAGACCCAGTGGGAAGATTTGCCAGTGATTGTTCAGTGGTAGTTGAGGCTGAATAGAAATTCAGTCTGAATAGCTCAAGTAAAATAAAAATCCACTTTGTGGTCTAAATTATTCATATTGATTGCTTACACTGAACTGAAATCCTGGGCAATTATTTCTCCCATTTATGCTCTGTGACATATTCCCAAGGAGATGAAATCAAGTTTGTTTTAATGTAAATGCATCCAGTTATTCATTCCTCCATTTAACAAAATCCTAAGCAAGCAGAACTCACAACCATGCATGTATCACCTCTGGCATGTTGTTATCTGCATCTCCCATGATAACTTGATTTCCTGAAGATAAAGACAGTAACTGGTGTTCTTTTAGCACTAAACAGTATTCTTGGAGGTAGTCCCTAGGTGAATGATATTCAAACGTACAAAGAGTATTAATCTGTCATTTCATATCCTAAAGGATATTTTATTGGTTTACTTTGAAAAGATTAAAAGGAAACTCTCCATTGGGGTTTTAATTATGCAACTGCTGTCAGATTTACACATAGGGAAGAACATATTTAAAAGTCTCTCTCAAATGGCAGCTTGATATAAACAGAAATATTTTTGCTTCCTTTTATTAGGTTTTCTGGCAGCGTATTTTAGCTATAAAGCTAAAACCATGCCGCTCTAGCCGGGATGGTGTAGGTATAAGAGATGTCACTTTTGGCACTGCATAATTTAGCTTGCTACTTTCAGAATTAGGCATACTTAATTATTCAATTGCAAGATTAGTAACAAGTTCTAACTTTTTTCTTCCTTTTTAATATGGAGTTTTTAAAATGTTTTTGTTTCAAAGGAAACTAAGACATTATAAGACTGAAATGTGACTACCACATTTACACTTGGTTTTCTTCTGACATGTATGTAATCCAGCTGGAGCTGGCTCTGATGCTAGGAGTGAAATACATTACCCAGAAGGAGAGGAGCACCTTTCTTTGCTTATTTCTCTCATCAGTTGTTTTTTTTTTTAAATTGGAAGATGATGCTGTGACAACTTTGAAGGACATTTGGGGGTGGGGTGGAAATCCATCATTAGATTTGGACCTCTAGATGGACAGCGAGGAAAATGAATTCTAATTCATTGCTCCTTCCTCAGCAACTAACACTGGACCCAGCACATTGTAAATGGTCAATAATTATGATAACTCATAATACTCTGCCCTCATATAACTGTTTTCATTTTTGCAAGGTCCCTTGCAGTACTTTCTTTTGTAGGAAAATGAAAGGAAACTGATTGACAAGTGTTGAGCTGCTTTTGGTCTAACATTTTATAATGTCA